AAATTATCATCAAACACGTAAAGACTTTATCATATTTGGATATTATATGTAATTAAAAATAATTTTGGATAATTTTTAGATATTTTGTTTTGAACAAATTAAAACAATTATTGTAATTTTAGAAGTTTTAGATAGTTTAGATAGTTTTATTACTTTTAAAACAAATTTCTTGTTCATGTATTTTAAGTTTTTTTTTTGGTATGGTTCGATTCGATATTTTCGTAATTGTATGTACTAGTATAATTTAATGAAAACTATAAGAATGTTTTTTCTGAACAGAAAATTCAACAATTAGCGCATATTTTATTGAAACAAAACTTTGGATTAATTTACTCTATTTGTAAGATAAATTCATCTTTAATTTTTTTTGAATTGCAAATTTTCTCGTTAAATTATGTTGTTATTTTATATTTGCTAAAATTATTAAATATAAATGTAATTTAATATTTATTAGTTTATTTAACTAATAAAATTATTTAACTAACTTTTATAGGTTTATATAAATATTAATTTAAAAAAACAAGAATCAGCCAAATTCATCTAGATTCAGCTGTTACTATTTACATTTTAAGATATTTTATCAGATGCTGCAAAAAATCAATAAAAATTTAGCCAATTTTTGCAATTAAGCAAAATTCAGCCAGATTCTACTGTTACAATCTAGAACCTTAATCAATCTTCCCTCTCAACCCATCAATCTACCCTCTCTCAACCCCCTTCTTATTCATTTATGTATTTCTAACCAACCCGTATATAGATTCCCTGATTCATTAATAATTATGATACAACGTCACATCTCGTTACCTATTATTATATTCATCGTCTACCCTTTTGTTTGTTTTCACGAGTAATGCATCATCCTATTCATATGTTACATGTGTAACAATTTCTATTCGTCATCGGAACCGCAATTCTCGCGCTAATAAAACTGGTCTTGGAAAACACTTGACCAAATATGCAGCACAAACCTAAATTACATAATCATTTTCGACGAAATATTATAGTACTACTAATTTAGTGTGTAGAAGATTGAAGAAGATGGNAGAGGATCATTAAAAAATATAATGTTGGGGTAAGTAAATAATGGAATTCAACTGTAGATTAAAAAAATAATTAGATTAAGGGGAAAGTAACTAACTATATACTATCATTGACGAAAGTCTTAAAAATAAAAAGTATAGTAAATTTTTATCTCGCGTCAAACGAAAGATT